AGCTCTGAGGGACATGGAATACTTTAACCTGCAGTTACAAATGCATAAATAATGTTTTGATATTTTAAACATGAAATGTTGAATACTGATATTTGAAATTATTAAAAAAATTAAAAGATACTATACATGTAAAATTAAAACCGCCAGTAGGTGGCAGCAAGTCACTGTTAAGTGAGTCATTGTGATTGAACCGAATCATTTAAACGGTTGATTCAGTCAGGAACGAAACACCGTCATGTTGCTCAGAGACGCGAAACAGTGCTGTGGCTATTTGGAATGTTTTCTGTTTTTGCAAAAACAGCCAATATGGTGTCTAAAAAAACAAAAGTCTCTTGATATTAACTTATTTTTTTATTGAACTGTTGTATAAAATCAATATCGCATTTGTAACCATGCTAAATTTTGAAGAAAAAACGGCACTCGTGTGATATTGATTAACTATATGAATTGATATAAATATATACATTTTCTGCAGAGCCGATCCTCCCTAAACGCAAAATACGCAAGCTGCGTAGGGCTGCGTTTCGTTTTTGAATTTGACCAGCGGTCATGAAAACATGAATGATCATTTCTTTTAATGCAGTGCGCTGTAGGGATGTAACGGTATAAAAATTTCTTACCACGGTTATAGTGACCAAAATAATCACGGTTATCAGTATTATCACGGTATTGTTAAAATGTGCTGGAGATGTTCAAAAAGTACTGACACATAAATCATTTCACCAAGTTTTACACTTCAAATCAACAAACAACAAATAAAATGAGGTTTTGTTTGCATGTTCAAAAAGTACTGACACACAAATCATTTCACCAAGTTTTACACTTCAAATCAACAAACAACAAATAAAATGAGGTTTTGTTTGCATAACTAAAACAATAACATTACCAATGATGACCGGATTTTAAATGACAACATGACTGACAACAGTTTCTTTCAGTTTCGTTTGCCGTTTGATGTTTCTCACATGCAACAGAAATGCAGCGCTTATGAGTTAAACAATGCGGTGGTCGCGCCAGTGCAACCGCACACAAAATTTAGTCGCACCGGCAGAAAAAATGATCACAGAATGCGCCCATTTGGTCGCTCACTGGAGCCCTGTGCAGTACAGTAGTTATTTATCCTCAGTTGTTCAAATTGCGGTAATCGAATACGGTTATAGTGATAATTAAAATATGAAACGGTAATACTAACCGTGGGGTATTTTATCACGATTTATCGTCAAACCGGTAATCGCTACATCCCTAGCGCGCTGTCGCCCTTTCTATGTAAAAAGCAGTCAAATCATGTAATGTGAATGTCGTACAGTCTTGCTCGAGGCTAAAAAAACGAGTTGAAAGCGTACCGAGCCGTGGAAGAGACACTGTTTCTCAAGCGCTTTCCGCAAGCACGATTCGAGACGGAGTGAAACACGGACAAATGCGTTTCATTCATTTGTTCATAACCACTCATACCCCACAGCTGACTTTTACCCGCATTTGGCGGGTGTTAATTTCAAACCCTACACACACACACACACACATATATATATATATTTTACATTTACATTTAGTCATTTAGCAGATGCTTTTATCCAAAGCGACTTACAAATGAGGACAATGGAAGCAATCAAAATCAACAAAAGAGCAATGATACACAAGTGCTATAACAAGTCTCAGTTAGCTTAATGCAGTACATGTAGCAAGGTTTTTTTTTTTTTTAAATCATAATAAATAAAAAGAAAACAGATAGAATAGAAAAAGAATAGAGCAAGCTATACTTCAACATTCAGATTTTTTTATTACTGTTTTTAATAAAGTACATTTGAAGAATGAAAAGTTGGACACCTTTTTTTTCTTGAGGAGTAGGTGGAATTTTCACATTAATTAACTTTTATCCATGCCACAAATAAATTGTCATGTGCACAAGGTGCCAGGGTTAATAGGCAAAGGTAATAAACGTAGGATCAACCCCTGAGGTGAATGTTTAGATCTGTTTGGTTGGATCTGTTTGGATTTGTCAAATCGAAACTATCTCTGTAACTCGTGAGAGTTACTCTTCTTCAGACAGACTTAAGAAAAAAAAAAAACCTACCATGATGCATTTTAGTCATGTAGCTTACATTAATATTTTAAAAGCTAGATTTTTTTAAAGACTAAGGCTGATGATACACAGGGCAACTTTTTGAGCAATTTTGCCAGGCAACTTTTTTTAGAGCAGTGCTGCTTGGGCACTTTCACAGAATGGGTAACAAATGTCTATCCGGATAGTTTATATCGGCCGTGGGCCCTGTGTCTCACCTGGCTGGCCGTTGACGGCAACACTGCTCAAAAAGTTGCCCTGTGTATCATCAGCCTATTACTTAATTACTACTTTTATTAACCAAGGAAGCATTAAATTGATCAAAAGTGACAGCAAAGACATTTATAATTTCATAAAAGTTTTCCATTTCCAATAAACACTGTTCTTTTGAACTTTCTTTTCATCAAACAATCCTACAAAAAATGTATCGCCGTTTCCACACAAACTATTAAGCAGCAAAACTGTTTTCAACATTGGTAAGAAATGTTTCTTAAGCACTAGGCTAATTCAGCATATCAAAATGTTTTCTGAAGAATCATGTGACACTGCAGAACAAACAAAACAGAACAGTAGCGTACGTTACACTATTAAGACTGCTAAAACCTATCTACTAGCTACTAGCTAATACTAGCTTTACAACTTGTGTGATCTGAACCATTTAACAACAACCTTTTAGTTCACTAGCACAGATACTTAACGTACACAAAAGATTCCTCCTCTTAAAGTTTAGCTTCAACTGTTTTCCTCTCCACCTCGCAGTATGAGAAATAAAGCTAATGTCGCACACACAAAACATTTGCTTTCTCCATTTATGTCTGTCTCTCTCCTCAGTCTTACCTTTCTTTGAAGTGGATCGTTTGCTTTGTCTCTTTGTGAGCACGTATGGGCAGATTGTTATTGCTTTTCGCACCGATTTCTCTCTTTCCTTTGTTTATTTTAATCCTTTCTGATTACCCTGTTGTCACAGGGCTGTAATACAAAACATGATAATAGAAGACTTCTGCTGTTTCGCAGTAATCTGGACACTCTCACTCACAGCGGCTTGCACTTCCGTGTTTTGCTTCGAGGGTTATTTCACTACTTCCTGTTCCTCCAACACAAACTGAATGACAGCAGACGAAGAACAGGTTCCGCAAGAAGGGCAAAAAGCATGGAAGGATATTTAGATACCTACATTTTTAGTTAGTTGATTTTTGATGGTTTTAAAATCTCTCTCTCTCTCTTAACGTGTGAAGTCAGTGTAAAGCAATATTTATGACACTACATAAAAATGTATTAACCACCCAGGCAAATTTGAATGAAAAAAAAATCTGCCAAGTAAATTACATAAATTACCAAAATCTTGAAAAAATAAGCAATAATAATCTGCTCTCAAATGTTGGGGGCGTGTCCGCTGTCGGCGCTGAAACCACGCCCACTCGCGGGAAAGCTGCCACCTCTCTCAACCGTCAACTAGTGATGGGAAGTTCGGATCATTTTACCGACTCGGACCTTTGAGTCGCGGTCAGCAAAATGAACGAATCATAACAGCAGGCCTAATAATGTTATAATGTACCAACATTATGAACACTATAGGATATTTTAGTTCCCCTCACTTTACAACAAATCCTTTAAATGTAACCGTATCAGAACAGAATAAGAATTTTAAAATATATCATTCTAATGGATAAATATAATTGCAGTATATAATAATAATGTATATGCTTAGCAATAAACATGCCAAAATAAATGTATTTATAAAAAAACGTAAGGTAAAGTTGGGCTTACCTCTCTCCGCAAAGTGCAACGTGTTAGCAGTTTGAAAATGCAAGAATAATAGCAAAGTTAATAAGAATTCTTTCTAAATGCAGCACACATCTGAAGTGGCATTTAGATGCATTTACTCGCTGTTTAATGCAGGACATGAATGCATTTAACCTGCAGTTACAAGTGTATTAATACTGTTTTGATATATTAAACACAAAACGTTGAATACTGATATTTGAAATTATTTTTTTTAAATGAAAAGAGTTCTTAATATTAAATTCTTGTTTATTGACCTGCTGTATAAAATCAATATCACATTTGTAATCATACTGCTTTTTGGTGGAAAAAACGTCAATCTTCGCGTGATACTGATTAACTATTTGATATGATATAAATATACATTTCTACCCCCATGTCTTGAATTTTGTGATCATTCTAAATGCATTTTAATAAACTGAATCATGCAGTGAAAGAACGCGGACTGGTCTAACCTCAGGGATTAACGTTCCGTGCCTACGACGGATTTCCGTCAGTTCATAAAGACAGTCACTTGCTTCATTCCTGAATGATTCAGCCGTTCGAACGAATCAATTGAATGAATGATTCAGTCATAAAATCAGTGACTTGCTGCCACCTGCTGGCGGATTTAGTTTAATTTTTAGCGTAAAATTTCAGTTATTTAAATCATATTTCTGTATTCAAAATTGTATATTTAAAACATTAATCTCCACATGAATTTAATTGCACTCATGCCACCTCTGAGCCTCATTAAACGTCTGAAAATGTACCTACAAGCCACTTTTGTGTTCTTCTGTATAAAAAATGCATGTTTATAATCTTTTTAAAATTTCAATTCAAAACAATATGTAGAATAAGACAAATAAATAAGTTACCAATCATATAAAATGGTATGATTGGACGGAAATCCGTCGTAGCGACGGAACTTTAATCCCTGTAACCTACTAGACTTCCTATTGCCTTAGCTAAACTTGAGCTAACTTACATGGTAGCTCTCATGAGTCATGGATGTTAGCAAGAAAAATTAACTATTTTGACTTTTTGGATAATTAGCTGTAAATTCGAGGCACAGGCAGCTTAGTCTTTCGTTTATCACCACTCACCTCCACACCAAGACAAACACAGTGGAAAGGGAGTGCCTGTCTGTGACTGTGATGTGCCGATCAATGTGTGCTACACTGCTGTGCTGCGGAGACGCGGAGCATTTCTCAACATTTCCTAACCCCACCTGATATTTAGATTTTTTATTTGTTTGACAGGGAAAGTTGTGCACAAACAGAAACACACACACGCATGTATATTCATTAATTAAAAAATAAAAAATAAAAACACTCCCCAGAAAAAAGGGCACTTTCTCTCGAGGAAGAAAAAGGGCAGGTGCTCGAGCCCCCTTTGATGTCTATGTGTGCACATGTCTGACTTATAGCACTGAATAAGAAATTATATTGTATAAAATAAATGTACAAATAAACTGAATAGTCTTCACTGTCTAAATTCAGTATACATTCATTCTTATTTATTTTACAAAAGGGATTCGGTCAAGGACAGTGAGTGATTTTCTTTCTAATGTTTGATTAACATTATTGACATAAATTTTAACAGCAGCTAAATTAGGCTGCTTTAGAGGAATAGCTCACCCAAGGTCTAATGTTGTTCTAAACCTGCATGAGTTTCCTTCTGCTGTTGAATGTAAAAGTATATATTTGGAACAATACTGGTAATCAGACAGTTGCTGGGCCCCCATGACTTCCATAGTATGAAAAACAAAATATTTGAGACAGAAAATTAGCATTAGCATAGTATCATCAGCGTATTGAAATATGTTATTCTCTCCTCCCTCTATGCCTATCCCTTTTATTCTCCCCTCCTGTTTTAAAGTTAATCCCAGTGGTTCTGCAACTAAAGCATATAAAAGTGCAGACAACGGTCAACCCTGTCTAATTGATCTCGTTAATTTAAAACACTCTGCTAAAAACCCATTACATTTTACTCTCGTTAAAGCACCTTTATATAAAATCTTAACCCATATAATAAAATTCCCTCCAAAACCAAAACTCTTTAGAACCCCGAATAAAAAATCATGCTCTACCCTGTCAAAAGCCTTCTCAAAGTCCAAACTGATTATAAAACCATCTTTCTTCTTTTCAGTAATATATCGTATCGTATCTTTTATGCTCATTGTTGTATCCGCAATGTCTCTTCCTTTAATACTGTATGCTTGGTTTGTTTCGATTATACTGGGCATCACTTCTTTTAATCTGTTAGCTAAAACTTTTGATAAAATCTTCAGATAGGTGTTAAGCATTGTTATAGGCCTATAATTATTTAACTCCACTTTGTCTCCTTTCCTCTTATATATCAGCTTCATTAATCCCATTCCCATCCTTTGGTTCATCTCACCTTTCCTAAAAATCTCATCAAATACTTCTTTTAAGATACTGGTTAAAAAATCTTTAAAAACAATGTAAAACTCACGACCGAACCCATCAATCCCCAGACTTTTTCTTTTGTTTAATCCACTTATTGCTCTTTTTATTTCTTCTTCTCTTACTTCATCATCACACCCTTTTTTATCCACTTCTCCTACTCTTGCTTTTATTTGCTTCAGTAATTCCACTTTTTCTCCTTCTTTTACCCCCTCTGTACAGAATAAGTCCTCATAGTATGATTTTATTTCTTTCAAACCTCCAAAGCCAAAACTCTTTAGAACCCCAAATAAAAAATCATGCTCTACCCTGTCAAAAGCCTTCTCAAAGTCCAAACTGATTATAAAACCATCTTTCTTCTTTTCAGTAATATTTCTTATCATATCTTTTATGCTCATTGTTGTATCCGCATTGTCTCTTCCTTTAAAGGTCACATATTTTACACCTTTCTGGAGTTTTATGTTAGGTTTTGATGGCCTTAAGAATATATATTTGCGGTATAAGTACTAAAAACCATCTCAATATATTTTTACAGCTCCTCTCTCAGGAGCTCTGCTGAGAACAGGTCGAATTAATAAGACATTGTAGTGGAGAAAAGTAAAATACCTAATCATAAAATAAACAAAAAGTATACATAAATACAAAATACATTGTACATCAAAAAGAAGAAACAAAGGATTTAACGATATCAAAAGCAGCACTCCAGGTCTTCAAAGTTTTAGTCTTTGCTCCATGAATGCGAGCTGTTGATAGTTCCAAGGAAATAATGTCCAGCAAAGATAAGCCCCATACACACCTGCTCATCTTATGTAGAGGAATCCAGCGACTGACTAACATTTTCTTTGCCGCAGTGAGAGCAACTAAAAGTAAAATAATTTTTTTGCGAAGACAATGTAAATTCAGAAAAGTTATTTAAGAAGAACAGTTCTGGAGTCAACACCATATCCTTATCTAACAGGAATGATATGTCATGAGCAAGCTGAGACCAGAAAGGAAAAAGTGCAGAGCATTCCCCCAAAAAATTTAAATATGTACCCAGTGCCCTCTGCGGACATAAATTACAATTTGGGGAAGGTGACAGATGCACATAGAAGCGTTTTAAAGGGGACAGATAGAGTCTATGCAATAGTTTCCAATGGATCATCTGATGGTTTCGGTTTTTTGAGGATGATGTAATTGTCTCCCAGATTTGGTCAGAAAATAAAGTTTGTATGTCACCACTGATATCCTTAGACCAGATAGTTGCTAGGGATAGTGGTTTGTATGAATTTTTTAGGAGAAAAGAGTAAATAACTGAAGCAGAAACAACAGAATTATCAGTGGGAAGAATTACTTTTTGCAAGGGATGTACAGGCAATTGTGCATCCCAGGGAACTCCATATGCGCGAAGCGCTGACCTAATGCGAAGATACATGAAGAAGGAAGATCCTGGTAAATTAAAAAGAGCCTTAATATCTTGAAATGATCTCAGGCCTTTGTCATTGTAGATGTCACCAAAGGAATCTACTTTACATTTAACCCATTATAGATAGTGAAAAGGGTTCTTTCCTGATAAAAAATTATTATTGTGAAACAGAGGTGAATGACATCAAATTTGTCACTATCTTTCTGGTCAACGTTCTCCGAGTAGAAATAAAATGTGTTATGATAGGGCCAAAACGAAGTTTACATTGTCTAAGTGAGACACCAGCAAAAACCAAATGCTTTATATTGTGAGGAGAAACAAGAGATTCTTCAATAGCCCACCATGAGGTTGACACATTTGGTTTAAACCAGGTTGACAGTGCACGAAGAGTAAAGGAGTCAGCCTATAACTTAAAATTTGGAAAGGACCAGCCCCCATCTGTTCTGCTGCGCTGTAAAGTAGATAACCTAATTCGGGGACGTTTACCATTCCAAATATAATGAGAAATTACTGAATCTAGTTTTTTCCAATAGCCAGCAGGTGGGGGTAAAGGAAGAGGAATCATAGAGGAATAGAAATTAACGCGGGGAAGGATGTTCATTTTAACAACAGATATTCTTGCATGAAAAGAAGTAGGAAGATGTGTCCAATTTGCAAGATCTGAGGTGACTCTGGCCAAGTTGTTATTTAATTTTTTTTAAACAATATCCTGCAGGGACAAATAAACATCTACACCTAAGTATTTGAAGGAATGCACCACCGGAATAAAACCATAAAACGTCACAGACCCAACACAAAAATTGAGAGGGAGCAGATATGACTTTGTCCAATTAATTTTATACCCAGATAGGTTACTGAAGTGATTGAATAAATTTAAAACATGGGGGACTGATTGAACTGGATTGTCTAAAAAAAGCAATATGTCATCTGCAGATAAAGATATGTGGTGTGAGGTGTTCCTAATCGATATAGGAAGTACAAGTTCTGACTGACGTACAGCTTGAGCAAGAGGTTCTAAAGATAAAGCAAATAGTAAAGGTGGAAGAGGACAACCCTGAATGGGTGCCTCTTCCGATTGGAAAAGATTGTGAACATATCTGGCCCAGTAAGAATGGTAGCTGAGGGATTAGCATACAAGGTTTTAATCATATTTATAAAGTTAGAGCTAAAACCTAGGTGATTGAGCACTGCCCACAAATAGTTCCACTCCAAATGGTCGAATGCTTTCATTGCATCTAAAGAGAGTATTGCAGAGGGAGAAATCAACTGTTCTGATGAGAAAATTATATGAAGTAGTCTTCACAGATTATCTGAGGCAGAGCGAGATTTGATAAACTCTGTTTGATCATGATGAACCAATTTGGTCATAAGGCCTTCTAGATGGCAGACTAACACTTTTTCATAAATGTTAACATCTGTACCAATTAGAGAGAGTGGGCGGTAACTAGAACATAATGTAGGGTCTTTATCTTTTTTTAATAGAAGAGATATAATGGCCATGTTCATATTTTGTGGAAAAGATCCTTGATCAATTGAATATTGCATCATATCTAGCATAAGTGGACCCAAATTGGACCAGAAGGTCAAATAAAACTCAACTGGTATGCCATCTAGGCCTGCGGATTTCCCCTTGTTCATATCTTTGACTGATGATTCTAATTCGATAAGTGATATAGGTCTAGATAAGAACTCAGAGTCTGATTCTGACAGATGTGGAAGATTAAGAGTAGATAAAAAAGAAGTATAGGAGGTGGGTTCGCATTTAGAGTTGGAGCTGTATAGTTCACAGTAGAAGGAACGAAAAGAGTCGTTTATACTCTTCTGGTCAGTCAGAACATCACCGGTTTGAGATTTGACTGCTGTAATATTAGCAAATTTTTCGCTATTACGTAGTCTTAAAGCCAATAAATGGCTAGGTCTGCTACCTTGAAAATAATAGTTTTGTCTGGATCTTTTAATAAGAAATTCGGCTCTGTATCTATATAATAAATTAAGTTCTTTCCTAACAGTTTCAATTTTAACTGTCGTACTATTAGAAAAAGAGTGTTGGTTTGCCTGTTCTAGTGATAGAAGTTTGAATTCCAGGTCAGAGATTTTCTTACGGTGAATTTTCTGGCGAAAAGAAGCATATGAAATCGAAAAATTCCTTATAAAGCCCTTTGTCGCCTCCCACAGTATGCGTGGGTCATCTACCGAGCCTTTATTGATGTCAATAAATTCACATAATTCAGTTCTGAATTGATCACAAAAACACTAATCTTTCAATAAATTAGTATTAAAATGCCATCTGGGGGCTCGCGGAGGTCGCTGGGTAATTGAAAGCCTAAAAAAATTGGTACTATGGTCAGAAAGAAATAGGGGAGGAATGTCAACTTCAAGTATCATTGAGGTCAAGGAAGAGGAAGCAAAAATGTAGTCAATCCGTGAATATGATTTGTGTCTAGCTGAGAAAAATGTATATGATTTTTGGGAAGGGTTAAATAACTGGCATGCATCTACTAATGAAAAAGAGACTATGCACTGTTTGAGTTGCTCAGTAGAAACATTCTGGGAATAAGAAAAATTGTCACCAGACCTATCAAGGTCATGGGACATTACAGCGTTCATATCTGCTCCTATTACTATATCAAAGTCCGTTAGATCAGTAAGATAGGTAGATAATTCAGAGAAAAAAGTTGGATATGGACTACATGGTGCGTAAACTGAGAGAAAGGCTATATTAAAATGTTTCTTTCCAACTAACTTAATATTGCTACTATATTGTTTCGCTGCTTTCATTGACACACAAGACGCCGTACGCACGCGCACACACACACGCATACACACACACACACATCACTTGCAGAGACACACAGATCGGAGATTGTGCTCACACACGGAAATATTCACGAGCATGGACACTTGTTGTCAAAGGTGCCGTGCAAGTTTTATTAATATAGCTTCAATACTGAATCGCAATATTTCTCAGCAACTAGGGGGTAAATTTGATGTTTTGAAGTAACGAAATTCACAGCTTCACTGTTTGGAGAATGAGACGCACAGACGCTATTCACACACACAACTTTCATCCCTCTCTCTCTCTCGATAATTAATTCAAATCAATGCTATAATTCATGCATTCAAAGGTGATCTTACTTCATCTCTGTGTCTGATTTGAAGCTAGCAGAATGCTAGATCTCCGCTTCGGGTGGTTCTTTGCTTCCGTCATGCAATAAATAATTTAATGCACAGTTAGCCATAGAGTACATAAAAGACAACACAATTATTTTGTATCAAGAGCAAACAGTTGGCATATTTATTTACAAATTTATTTATTTTTGAAAAATGTAACAAGAGATTGAAATGTCTGAAATGACATTGATTAATAATAATAATAATAAACTGCTTAGTTCAACTTCAAGCATGCTGTTATGTTGGTCTATACAAAGCAGACCGGGATTGCTTTTCACAAATCACAAGGAAACCGAACCACAAACGGCCCCACAAACGAATCGGACTCAGACCACCTCTGGAGGTGGTTCTGTTTATGGTACGGTTCACTTTTAGGTCCTTTTAGGGGGGTATGAGATCACTTGATTATTCACATATACGACCTGAACCACTCTGAGAGCATTAATTTGGAGGGCTCAAACAAACTAGGTGTGAAAACACCCTTAGAAGCTTGAGTAGCCAAGCATATAACAAGCACTTAGACGATTTAATATACCATTTAATATGAGATATAACTGTGAACACCTGTGTGGAAAAAATGTCCCAAACACAAATTTGTTGACTGAGCAGGTAGGCATGCATCTTAGACCTTTCCTTAAATGCTGTAGCAAATCGACCTCATATAATAGTGGCATGCAGTGTTTTTCTAAATTGAGGAGGCAAAATCCTTCGTGTTTTTTTTTTTTTAGATTTTGGCTATATTTTATTTGTGATGATCAGCAGTTATTTTTAATAGTCAACTTATTTTGGGTTATCAGTCATCAAAGCTTGGTAAACACTGTATCATGACTGATTACATTTTTTAAAATGAAAATAAAAGATGCATAATTCATCACGGGAACAGACTAATAGACAATTATAGTGTGAAGGGGCATTGCTGCCTCTCACGTGACTTTTCTCTGTTCATTCTCAATAACCTCCAACCAAACCCACAGCTCGCTTTATATAGGTTCAAGTAAAACTTTAAATAGTTGGGTCCTGTGCACAATGTATAACAAGCCCTGCATTGGGAAAAAAAAGATTTTTACACAACTAAATTTGTAATGTTTAATTTTTTCATTATTAATTATTTTACCACCCAATGCCCCTATAGATAGATAGATAGATGCACATTATTTGATTACAGTATGCTTACTTAAATCAAACATTAAGGCTTTTCTCTTTAGATTTGCGTCTTCATTTGAAACTAGGGTTAATATGTAAACTCTTCACTAACTAACCAATGAAGATGCCCAAAAGAACGTTGAACTTTGATAAACCCTGAGATTTGCTGAGTCACTGAATACATAGAGTGGTCCTGCAAGCCTGGACCAAGAGTCCACCTGACACTGTTACGATAGACAGCTGAGATCAGATAATTACGCTGACAAGCCCTAAAACAAAGCTTCCTTATCTGTCATTTAACTTATTTGAATTATCTGAGCTGTGAATTTAATAAAAAAAAAATGGAAATGAAAAGGTATCCAAATGATGGGTGTTGCGAGAGGTTACATTTAGATGTCTGTGTAGATGAGCGCACCCCTCGGCATGGGATATTAGAGCTTCTTAAGAAACTGAGGCCAGAGTGGAAATCAGAAGATATTCAGATCAAGGCAAGTTCATCATTAAACTTAAATACATTTTATGTTTTAAAAATAATTTAAAACATGATTTTAAAATACTTTGTTTTGTGTTTTATGTATGAGACCCAAATTGACTGAAATACAATGTGTTTTAATTTTTTATTTATTTAAAAAAAAAAATTTGTACCTCTTAATTTATTTTCAATTATTTCTGTTGAAGAGGAAAATAAAAGATAGCCTGCTGACTCTGGAGGACAGAATAATTCGTTTACATTCATACAATGACGCTTTTATCCAAACTGACTTGACTTGACATTGCATTCAAGGTATACATACATGTATGATCAGTTTATACATTCCCTGGGAATCATGGTGTTGCTACTGTCATGTTCCATTTGATCTACAGAAATTGAATTAGTTGAAATTGAATTAGTTTGTCACTGTTGTGTTTTATAAAGCGCTACGTAACATTTATATGAATGGCTATAATAAGCCTCAAAAACATTCTTTGTAAAGTTAGCAGGAAGCTCTTTTGCAGGTCTTTATTTTCATGTGCACAGAGAAACGAGTTCATTGCGAAATGTAAATAATAAACGTACAGAGTAATTCTTGCATTCTTGCAAAAGTTAAAATATAGCCATGCATTCCGGTTACAGGGTCCAAACAGATCACAGTCCAAAATGACAACTGTTTTTTTACTGGTAAATAAGTGCATTCTCCTACGGCAATTAAGACATTTTAGTGGTTGGAACTAAACATATGGGAACTAGAAAATAAATAAATAAAGGTACAAATATAACATTACCTTGCATAGGAAATGAAAGTCAATCAGAGCAGCTGACAAAATGTGTGTGAATAAGGGATAGAATTGTTTTAAATAAATGGAAAGTGTAATTACGTCTTCCCCAGTCCTAATAGAACAGTTATACCAGGGCTGTCCAAACTCGGTCCTGGAGGGCCGGTGTCCTGCAGAGTTTAGCTCCAACTTGCCTCAACACACCTGACTGGAATACTGTCATGAGTTCGGTTCATGGACTTCCATTCACTCACTACCAGAGGTCAGCCATCTCCACTATGACTCTTTTCATGAGCCGCTACATCTCTCCCCGGACTGCATTTCCCAGAACCCATTGTACTACATTGATTATGAACTCACCTGCAGCCAATCACACACACACACACACACACACAAACACACTATATAAATCAGTCTCAAACCACCATTCAGGGCCGAGTCTTGTTTTGCTTTTATCGCTGTTTTGCATTAGCAACATTACGGAGCCAGTTCCCTGCCCTAGTTTCTAGTTCCAATTTCTAGTCTAGTCACGTCTTGCTTTTGCCTGATTATCTGTTTCCTGATCACCTGCCGTTGTCGTTTGCTCCTTGTTGCTCCTGGATTATGTTTGCCGTCGTTTGACCCACGCCTGTCTCTGGATTACTCTTTCGTCTTGCCTGTGCTATACCTGTTGTTGCTGTTGACCCTTGCCTGTTTTGACCACGTCTTTTAATAAAAGCTTTGCAGATGGATTCGCTCACCTCTCGTCTCAATCGTTCCGTTACATATACAAGAAATAAAATAATTTTAACAGATTTACTTGACTGAACCCCTAGCTGTCACACACACAGCACAATATATAAAACTTTGGTAACACTTTATATTAGTTTCATTTGTTAACATTAACTAACAATATTAGTTATCATGAACAATATTTATATAGCATTTATTAATCTTAGTTAATATTGTTCAAAACTTACTAATACGTTATTAAAATTTAAAGTTGTATCTGATCTGTTAACATTAGTTAATGAACTGTGAATTAACATGAAGCAAGGTCACATAAACAAACACACAAATGAGCAGAGCAGTTCATAATTGATAAACATCCTCATAGTTCGCTCTTACCGTGGAACAGACAGCCTCAAAAGATTCCCCAGTTCATTCGGTAACAGATTAATCATTCTTACTGCGGAACAGTCTCAAATGACGTGACGTGACGTGACATGTGGCCAAGTACGGTGACCCATACTCGGAATTAGTGCTCTGCATTTATCCCATCCAAAGTGCACACACACACCATGAACACACGCAGTGGGCAGCCATTTTTTGCTGCGGCACCCGGGGAGCAGTTGGGGGTTCGGTGCCTCTACAATCCCTGCCGGCACGAGACTCGAACCCACAACCTTTGGATTACAAGTCAGACTCTCTAACCATTAGGCTATATATATATATTGTTGGGTTCGAGTCCACCTAAGTCGAGTCCAAGTCAAGTCAGAGTCTTTAACCAATCGAGTCGAAGACAAGTCCGAGTCCAAAATGGGCCGAGTCGGACTCAAGTCTGAGTCCCAAACAGCCGAGTCATTGTTGAGTTTCTTAACATTGTTTTATCCTTTACAACTACTTGTACTTGTACGGACTTGTAACCCACAACCTTTGGGTTACAAGTCCGACTCTCTAACCATTAGGCTATATATATATATATTGTTGGGTTCGAGTCCACCTAAGTCGAGTCCAAGTCGAGTCCGAGTCTTTAACCAATCGAGTCGAAGACAAGTCCGAGTCCAAAATGGGCCGAGTCGGACTCAAGTCCGAGTCCCAAACAGCCGAGTCATTGTTGAGTTTCTTAACATTGTTTTATCCTTTACATAAACCTAGTCTGTACAATGGCACTGTGTATAAAAGCCCTACATATACTTTCCATAAATCACAGCCAACTCACACCTGTTTTATTTTTGAATGCATTTATAGTTACATTAATTACATTATGTAAGGAGTAACTGATGAAGGGATGTTGAATTATTAGAAAATAATGCACACCCAAGGTGATTTTGGACCCATAAAAACTATTG